TCCGAGGGCCACGTGCAGCGGCTGCTCTGGCTTCGGGGCCGCGGCCGCCTCCGCCACGTGAGCCTGGGCCTGTGCTCGCTCGTGTACGAGGCGCCCGTCGACGCCCAGGCCAGCCTCTACCAGGCCCGCTGCCGCTACCTGCAGCCCCGCTGGGCCGACTTCCCGGACCGGATCCTGGACGTGGGCTTCGTGGGCCGCTGGTGGGTGCTGGCCGCCCGCATGCGCGACTGCGACGTTAACGACGACGAGTTCCTCCACCTGCCGGCCCACCTGCGCGTCGTCGGGCCCCATCAGCTGCGCTCCGAGACCAACGAGCGGCTCTTCGACGAGAAGTACGAGCCCGTGGTGCTCACCGACGACCAGGTGGACCAGGCGCTGTGGGAGGAGCAGGTCTTGCAGAAGGAGAAGAAGGACCGACTCGCCCTCAGCCAGGCCGACTCCCTGGTGCGGCCCGAGGGGCCCAGATGAAACCCCGGGCCTGGGTCGGGTCGGGGCTCCGAGCCCCGGCGGCTTGTGTGGCCCGGAGCGCACGGCCGCTGCGAGCGGGGGAAGCAAATACTGTGCAGAGCGTGCTCTCCCTGCGTTTTCGCCACCTTTCCAGAAGGCCGCTCTCCCTCTCCCCCTCCCCTTGTTCCTTGTTAGCTGAAGCGGTTGCGGAGCCCTCTGGGTCGGGGAGGTGGGGAGGGCCCAGCGGTAAGACGGCGGAGTTGATCGGCGGAGTTGATCGCTGCGCTACGAGCGTTCTTCATGAGCCCTTTGTGTAAATGAACTTTTCGTGGAGTCTCACAGCCCCTCGCCCGAGGGATCCTATTTGTCGAGTGACTCCGGCGCTCTCCTAAAACTATTCAGATTTTTACTTTAAGCTTGGCAACGTTCTTTTCCTTGTCCTAAGTGTCTTTATTTGAAAATAAAGTTAAAAAATTACTGGTCTCAGGAAAGTGGGAAAATACCACAGGCATCCTGCGCCCCCTGCCCCCAGGGTACCCCAAATGGTAATGTTTGACAGGAAGCCACACCCGACCCGGAGACTGCAGTGGGAGGACTGCAGACTTCACAGGACAGCACTTTGCAAAAACCAACACCAAACTTTTTACCACCTAGGACAGTGATGTCAAAATGACACAGAAGGGGAAAACATTATTTGGAATTATCTACGGAATCATAGGTTTATATTTCAGAAACCCTGAAAACCCAGAATCCTGTGGAATGGGATGTGTTCGTGTACAAAGGTTAGGATAACCCTCCTTTACAGACACAGGAATGAGACTACCTCGGTCACCCGCGTGGTTTGTGGCTGCTTGATAAAACCGTGAGATGAAACAACGGTCTTCGTTGGGATGTTTGTGTTACTGCGTTCGGCCATTTAGTTTTGGTACTTCTAGACCTTCCATTCATGCTCCGTGCCGGACACACAGTAATTTTTATGTCCTTATTTTTGGGACAGTGGAGCATCTTGTACGTCAGCATCTTCACTTTACAGCAGAAAAAGTGAGCTTCAAAAAGTCCATTTTTTTCTGGGGCTCCTGGGTGGCTCAGTTAGGTGTCCAACTCAGGTCATGATCGCATGGTTCATGGGTTCCAGCCCTGCGTCAGGCTCTGTGCTGCCAGCTCAAAGCCTGGCGCCTGCTTCAGATTCTGTGTCTCCCTTTCTCTCTGTCCCTATTGTGCTCACGCTTTCTCTCAAAAACAGACATTAAAAAAATTTTAAAAAGTGGATTTTTTCCCAAGACTGTGGCAGAGCCAGGATTCAAACTGCAACTCCCAACCCTGTGCCTTAATCCTCGAACTCGGGATGCTATTTTTTGATCCTAACAGCATCCTGCTAGAAATTATTAAATGTTGCTATCACTAGCCATAGATAAAACTTAAATACACGAGGGGCGCCTGGGTGGCTCAGTTGGTTAAGCATCTGACTTTGGCTCAGGTCATGATCTCACGGTTCGTGAGTTTGAGCCCCGCGTCGGGCTCTGTGCTGACAGCTCAGAGCCTGGAGCCTGTTTCAGATTCTGTGTCTCCCTCTCTCTCTCTGACCCTCCCCCATTCATGCTCTGTCTCTCTCGGTCTCAAAAGTAAATAAACGTTAAAAAAAAAAACAAAAACAAATACACGAATAGAAATTCTGCATACGGAATAAATTTTAAGTGAATATAAAAAAATGCAATAAGGACAAAAGACAAAGGATACGAAGTTATAATCCTATATGGTTACCTGCAGAAATTTCTGGGCCTAAATCCTGATGTCTTTGTTAAAGAGATATTGGCCAACTTCAGGGAAAGTTCTAAGACACACTGGCATCCAAGTGAGATGTGTTCCTTAGTGTGATCAGAAGTTCTGGAAGAGAACTGCACAGCTTCCTTGCTTGAGGTGGTTATTAAATGCCACTTCTGGGGCACCTGAGTGGTTCAGTCAGTTAAGCATCTGACTCGGGCTCAGGTCATGATCTAACGGTTCTTGAGTTTGAGCCCCTCATTGGGCTCTGTGCTGACAGCTCAGAGCCTGGAGCCTATTTTAGATTCTGTGTCTCCCTCCTTCTGCCCCTTCCCTGCTCGTGCTCTCTCGCTCAAAAAAAAAAAAAAAAAAATTTGAAATAAAAATAGGGTTTTAATGTTTAAGTCTCAGCTTTCATACTGGTTTTGTAACTGACCAAGGCTAGAACAGTTACATAAGAAAAAAGGGGAACAAATTGTAAAGGGAGTAAAACTGATACTATTTGCAGATAATGTATTATTTACAGAAATCTCTAAAGACCCCATGAAAAAACGGATAGAATAAATGAATTCACTAATGTTGAAAGATACAAAATGCAAAAAGTCTGTTGTATTTCCATACCCTAATAATGAACAAATTAAGAAAACAATCTAATTTACAAGTGCATCAAAAACACCACCTGGGAATAAATTTAACCAAAAAAGTGAAAGACCTTCCTTAACCAAGGAAGTGAAAACTTTAAGACATTTATGAAAAATCTGAAGACACAGATAAATGTAAAGATATACGGTGCTCATGGATGGGAAGAATATTGTTAAAATGTCCATATTCCCGGGCACCTGGGTGGCTCAGTTGGTTGAGCGTCTGACTTCGGCTCAGGTTTGTGAGTTTGAGCCCCACATCGGGCTCGCTGCGGTCAATGCAGAGCCTGCTTGGGATCCTCTGTCCCCCTCTCCCACTGATTCTCTTTCTAAAGAAATAAACATTAAAAAAAAAAATCCATATTCCCCAAAACAATCTGCAACCCTACCAAAACTCCAATGGCATTTCACAGGGAAAAAAAAAAAATCCTAAAATTTATAGGGAACCCCAAATAGCCAAAGTAATCTCAGGGAGGAACAAAGCTGGAGGCGTCATGCTTCCTGATGAAGTATGTTGCCAAGGTATAGTATTCAAAACAGCATGGTATCAGTATCATACAGACACAGCTCAATGGAACCAGAGAGCCCAGAAATAAACCTACGAATATATGGTCAATTGATTTATAACAAAGGAGCCAAGAACACACAGTGGGTAGAGAGCAGTCTCTTCAGTAAATGGTGTTGGGAAAACCAGACAACCACATTCAAAACGAAACAGGGCCACTATCTTACACCACATACCAAAAGTAATTCAAAATGGATTAAAGAACAGGACACCCGAAACCATAAAACTAGAAGAAAACATACGCAGGAAGCTCCTTGACATTGGTCTTGGTGACGATTTTTTGGATTTGGCACCAAGAGTGCAAGGCAACAAAAACAAAAGTGGAACCAAGGCAAACTAAAAAGCTTCTGCACGGCACTCTCAAAAATAAACATTTATTAAGAAAAGGCGGGGGGTGGTGGGGAAGCACCTGAGTGGCACAGTCGGTTAAGCGTCTGACTTCGGCTCAGGTCATGATCTCACAGTTCGTGAGTTCGAGCCCCGTGTCCGGCTCTGTGCTGACAGCTCGGAGCCTGGAGCCTGCTTTGGATTCGGGGTCTCCCTCTCTCTCTGCCCTTCCCCTGCTCACTCTCTTTCTCTCTCATAAATGAATATTAAATGTTAAAACAAAAAAAGAAAAAAAACTAACTCAAAAAGATCCATGTTCCCCTATGTTCACTGCAGCATTATTTAAAATAGCCAATATATGGAAACACCAGTGAATGATCGGATAAGGACGATGTGATGGATGTAGGATAGAATATTACTGAGCCATAAAAAGTAGGAAACCTTGCCATTTGCAACAACGTGGATGGACCTTGAGAACTTTATGCCAAGTAAGATAAGTGAACCAAAGACAAATGCCAGGGGAACTCACTTATGTGTGGAATCTAAAAAACAAAAAGAAGAAAAAATAAAACTGGGCTCACGGATACAGAGAAGAGACTGGTGATTGCCAGAGAATGGAGGCAAAGTGAGTAAAGGGGTCAAAAGGTACAAACTTCAAGTCGTAAAATAAGTCATGGGCATATAATATATTGTATAGTGACCATGGTTAATAATATGGTATATTTTGGGGGCACCTGGGTGGCTCAGTCGGTTAAGCATCCGACTTCAGCTCGGGTCATGATCTCACAGGTCCCGCATAGGGCTCTGTGCTGACAGCCCAGAGCCTGGAGCCTGCTTCGGATTCGGTCTCCTTCTCTCTCTGCCCCTCCCCACTTGTGCACTCTCAAAAATAAATAAATGTAAAAAAAAAAAAAAATTTTTTTAAAGACCCTCCCTTTCTCTCCCTCTGCCCAGCTCATGCTCCCTCTCACTCTCTAAAAGAAAATTTAAGAAAACCAAAACCACTTTTTTTAATAATATATATTTTTAAAAGCAGGGTTTGAATCTCACCTTCCACACTTCCTAGCTTTGTGACTGACCTAGGACAGGTGGAGCTCCTTATCTGTAAATGGGAAAGGACTCTGCCCAGGGTTGTTAGGAAAAAATCAAAAACCACCAGAAAGCACTTGGTACCCGGCACGCATCTGCACTGCAGGTTGTGTCCGCGGATCTCATGGGTGAGACCGTGGCTCTGAATCTGTGCCCCACAATTACCTGTTACCTGGAAGGGCTGCTGCCCCCGAGCCTTGCAGACAGCCCAGCCTGCAGGGATGGAGCCCGCCCAGGGCTGCCCACGGGGAGGGCTCAGTAAACAGAGGATGGACAGGGCCTGGGACTTGTCCCCCAGAGCCCAAAGACACCTGGATACAATAGGCTCATTTTCTTGAGGCCAGTTCTCGCTTTTTCTTATTCTTTTTTAAAATATTTTTGAGAGAGAGAGAGCACAAGCTGGGGGGTGGGGGCAGAGAGAGAAAAAGAGGGAGAGAGAGAGAGAGAGAGAGACACGGAGACAGAATCCGAAGCAAGCTCCAGGCTCTGAGCCATCAGCACAGAGCCCGACGCGGGGCTCAAACTCACAAACTGGGAGGTCATGACCTGAACCGAAGCCGGCCACTTAGCCCATTGAGCCACCCAGGTGCCCCTCAGATTTATCCTTAACAAGCTTTAATGATTTCGGCCTTCCCAGCCAGTCCGGGGTTGGCTCCAGGCGCTCGAAGCAGGCTGTTGTAATCAGAGAGGCCAGCAGAGGGCACCAGAGACGGGGCTCAGAGAAGCTGGCTGGCTCCTCCCCAGTGGGAAAGGCTAGCCCCCCACTAGCTTTTGTTCTGAGAAGCAGCCGAGGAGGTAGTGCGGTGGGCACACATCCCTCCTTTAGGGCACACGCTGGTCTTTAGAGACGTTGGTAGATGGTGGCCAAGGTCAGGGCTGCAGGGAGGGGCCGCACCCATCCCTCGAACCTGCACCTACCTTGTTAGCTGGAGGCCTGATGCTCCCCCTTGAGACTTCCTGGAGTGCACGGACGGACAGACTGGCAGGGTCGCCTGGTTTGCCTTGGGAGCCCTTCCAGTCCCCTGGTGTTCTGGAAGTTGTATTGAGGCATCCAACGCAGTAGGACCTGGGGTAGCGGAAGGCAAGCGGGGTGCCTAGGGCAGAGGCTTTAAGGCAAGCGGGGTGCCTAGGGCAGAGGCTTTAAGGAGCTCCGTCCCTGGGGGCAACAGCGCAGGGGCGGCCCCTGGGAGGCAACGCCTCCTTAAGTTCTGCGACCGAGGGGCCTCACTCGGCTGGAGTCCAGACCTCACAGCAAGCTCGGCAGGGATCACCAGAGCGTGCTTCCCAGACTCGCTCCTCCCTGAGGCCACAAGCTTTTCTTAGGTCCGTGCTCATAGCCACAGGTGGAAGCACGTGACTTTTTAAGAGCTCTCAGCCAATCACCCTCGTCCGAATTTAGTTACAGCAGAGGTACCTATTTGGGAGACACCTGAAAGAGGAGAGAGCCAATAGGACGTTAAGGCTTGGGAACGGCCAACAAAGCTCTAGAACTCT